GGGCCGGGGGGTGGGTGCAGCGGGGCTGCCCGGGGGAGATCGGGAGAGGAGGGGAGAACTGGCCGCCAGAAGCAGGGCTGGCGGTGGGTGCAGCGGGGCTTGCCAGGGAAGATCGGGAGGAGAAGTGGGGGAGAACCAACCGGCCGGCCAGGAGGGGGAGGAGCGTATCAGTCGGTGGGGAGCGGGACTGACACGGGCAGTGCAGATCCCAGGGCGCTCCTGCCCCCCGCACAGTCCAGGCGAAGCGCGAGTCAGTCCAGCTGTGGCTCCACCACGCGCTTGACCAGCGCGCAGGAGCACAGACCGGGCTGCCCCCCCCCCTCCTCACATGCAACCAGGGCTCCCAGCGCCGATCGCGCCCACCTCCCAGCCACTCCCCACACCAGGCTTCCAGGCGCCCAGTTGGAAAACCAGAAAATATCGGTATTTTCTGGATTTTTTTACTGGACAGAGCCCCAAAAACCCAGACTGTCTGGTAGAAAACTGGACACTTGGCAACCCTAAGACATCAGGGTGTGCCTGGGCACACCCGGCACACCCCGTACGCACTCCAGTGCATGGCATGCATAGGGGACAGGCAGGGTATAAACTGGGGGATTGTGGGAACACAGGGAGTTGAGAGTCAAATGATGTGAGTCATGGACAATGGAAGCAAATGCACTGAGGAGGGAAATAGAAGACTGTTTATTTTCTGAGAGAAGCATTTTTTTGGGTTTTTAGATCTTTAGTTCAATATGCCCAGGGCCCTGTGTCTTCCCTGACTGCCACTGTGAATTCCCTTCAGAAGTCATTCCTCACTGCAGAACTGTGGTCCAACTTCTACACTTCATCCGAAAGCCTTCCTCAGATGCTTGGAACTTGGTCAAACTTTTATCTCACAGGCTGCAATGTTCCACAATGGGTCTGGGCTTGAGAGTGAATTCTGGGAAATCTGAGCAAACCCCCATATAAAGCCCACTTCTGCCATTCAGGCATATGGGCCTAGTTCTCACTGACTCCTTTACATTGCTCTGACAGCGTAAAGGAGCCTTGAAACGGAGCTTTATCTACCTCAGCACAGGGCCATCTGCACCTGCTTTTGGGCAGCCCAGTGTTCAAAAGTTGGAAACTTGCCCTCTGGCGGGGAGAAAGTCCCAGGTCCACATGTGCTTCTCAGTGGGCCCGTGGAAATTCACTGGCATTGTGTTTGGAAAGCACCATTGCCTCTGTCCTGCCCTGCGTTTTCAGTCACCCTCTCCTACAGCTGAACACCACCATGCTCATGGGACCTGAGTGGCTTTTTCGTTCCAGGCACGTGGATTTGTGTATCTGGAGGAGGAGATGCACTTAAAAGCAAATAAGGTCTCCCACACTACACACACACACACACACACACACACACGCAACTCCTTATGATACAAACACCTGCCATTTGTAGGGCCCCGTGTGTAAGCCAGGCTGGCACATGTGTACACGCTCCACCCATCTGCCACCTGCCATCCCACGTGCACCATGCTCCCCTCCTTCCGCCCTGTGCAAAGGGAGCATCCTGCGTGCCCTCAGGCCTGCCAGCCAAGAGGCAAACATGGAGGGAGGCCTGGGCTCTGGCAGAAGATTTTCCCCAAGATGCTTGTGGGTGACCCAGAACCTCACCCAGGAGGGCGTCCACCTGGCCTGGCATCAGACCCACCTGCCCTGGGGTGGTGCAGGCAGCAGCTCGTACCTTCGCACTGAGGACTGCAAGGAGCTCTCAGCCCTGCCTTATGCTGCACAGGACTTGTCCGGACAGCACAGGAAGGAACCCAAGGCTCTCCTGCCTTCCCCTGAGTCAGGGACTTGCCTCTCCATCTCTTAAGCAGGGAAGAAGTCCTGCAAAGACACCGACATTTGCTCCCCCGGGATTCCAGGGTTTTCTTACTGCCCAATCGCAGCCAAAGGGGGCCCCTGACCCTCCACCCGCCGGCAGCTAAAAGAGGCCAAGAGGTTTAGAACTCAGTGGCTAGCACCAGGCCCCTAAACAAGTGAGTTGGTTTCCCCAGGTGCTGAGCGCCCCCTGCTGCCCATGGGCCCAGTGACACTCAGTTCCAGGCAAATGTTCAGAAGAAACGAACGAGTAAGGGGGGGAAGTTTCAGAGGGGAGCCGAGTTCCTCTGCCGCTGAATAAACTTGAAACACAGCATTGGTCCTGCAGCACCTCAGGGCATGTCTACACTACCCCCCGAGTTCGAACTAGCGGGGTAATGTAGTCATCCGCAGTTGCAAATGAAGCCCGGGATTTGAATTTCCCGGGCTTCATTTGCATAAAGCCGGCCGGCGCCATTTTTAAATGCCGGCTAGTTCGGACCCCGTGCCGCGGCTACACGCGGCACGGACTAGCTAGTTCGGATTAGGAAGCCTCCCCCCTTTTTCCCTATTTATTTTGGCCCTGGACATCCAACACGCTGGTCATCTGAAGAAGCTCGTGATGCCATCTACAATGTTGTGTTAGTCTTTAAAATGCTACAGACTATTTGTTGTTTTTTAAGTTTATCCTGTACAGATTAACTCAGCTAACCCCTGAAGCTTATGATCAATGAGGCTGACAGGGTGGGTGCTAAGGACTCTGCGTACCCAGTGCTTGGCTTTTGAGGTCATTAGGGTGTGGAATGTCGGGGGCTACACAGTTAAGGTCTTTGATTAAACCTCTAGTGCAGTGTCAGACTTGTAAGTGAAACCTAGTTCTGCAGCGTCTCTCTCCAGCTGGGTTTGGAAATTGCCTCAATTGTCACCCCCAGAGCCCGCAGGGGCGCCCGGGCAAGTGAAAACGCCCCCAGCAGGCTTCTTGTGTCACCATTTCGAGTATCCGATTTGTGTCCGGGAATCCCTTGTCACAGAGACTGTCCGGTTTGGCCAGTGTCCATGGCCGAGGGGCACTGCTGGCACGTGCTGGCAGAGATCACGCTGGGGGACGTGCAGTTGTGTGAGCCTCTGGTGTGGTGGCCGATGGTGTCGCTGGTGTAGCTATGTGGGCAGAGTTGGCACCAGGGCTGATTGCAGGGGCGGGTTCCTGGGTGAGGGTGACGGGGCTGTTGCTGTGTGGTTGCGGGACAGAATTTGTTTGAGGTTGGGGATTTGTCTGTAGGCGAGGATTGGCCTGTCCCCAAGGCCTGTGAGAGTGAGGGGTCATTTTCCAGGCTAGGCTGTAGATTGTCAATGATGCGCTGGAGGGGTTGAGTCGGGGGCTGCAGGCGATGCCCAGGTGGGTCCTGTTGTTCTCTTTGCTGGGCCTGTCGAGAAGAAGCTGATGCCTCATCTGGGTCTGTCGATCTGTTTTTTTCACTTCTCCGGGTGGGTATTTCAGTTTTAAGAAGGCTCGATATCGATCCTGTAGGCGTTTGTCTCTGCTTGTGGGATGAGCAAATCCGCTTGGATCTTCGGTCCTGGCTGTAAACAATTGACTGTGAAATGTGTCTGGGATGGAAGCTGGAGGCATGAAGGTAAGTGGAGCAGTCGGTAGGTTTCCGGTATAGAGTGGTAGAAATGTGTCCATCGTGTACTTGTACTGGAGTGTCCAGGACGTGGATCTCTCATGTGCACTGGTCCAGGCTGAGGTTGATGGTGGGGTGGAAGCTGTTGAAATCTCCGTGAAATTCTTCCAGGGTCTCTTTCCCGTGGGTCCTACGATGTAGATGTCATCGATGTAGCGTAAGTGGAGTAGGGGTGCTGGGAGCAGGAGCTGAGGAAATGTTGTTCAAGGTCGGCCATAAAGAGGTTGGCAGATTGCGGGGCCTTGCTGCTGACTTGAAGATACAAATTGTCCCCGAATGGGACGTAGTTGTGGGTGAAGACAAAGTCGCGGAGCTCTGTGACCAGGCGTGCAGTGCTGTCATCGGGGGTGATGTTCTAACTTGCCTGGGCACCCACTGCTGGCTCTGAAAAACAATTGACTGTGAAATGTGTCTGGGATGGAAGCTGGAGGCATGAAGGTAAGTGGAGCAGTCGGTAGGTTTCCGGTATAGAGTGGTAGAAATGTGTCCATCGTGTACTTGTACTGGAGTGTCCAGGACGTGGATCTCTCATGTGCACTGGTCCAGGCTGAGGTTGATGGTGGGGTGGAAGCTGTTGAAATCTCCGTGAAATTCTTCCAGGGTCTCTTTCCCGTGGGTCCTACGATGTAGATGTCATCGATGTAGCGTAAGTGGAGTAGGGGTGCTGGGAGCAGGAGCTGAGGAAATGTTGTTCAAGGTCGGCCATAAAGAGGTTGGCAGATTGCGGGGCCTTGCTGCTGACTTGAAGATACAAATTGTCCCCGAATGGGACGTAGTTGTGGGTGAAGACAAAGTCGCGGAGCTCTGTGACCAGGCGTGCAGTGCTGTCATCGGGGGTGATGTTCTAACTTGCCTGGGCACCCACTGCTGGCTCTGAAGGTGACAATTGAGGCAATTTCCAAACCCAGCTGGAGAGAGAAGCTGCAGAACTTGGTTTCACTTACAAGTCTGACACCTGCACTAGGGCTGTGTCTAGACTGGCCAGTTTTTCTGGAAAATCAGTCGCTTTTCCGGAAAAACTTGCCAGCTGTCTACACTGGACGCTTGAATTTCCGCAAAAGCACTGACTTCCTACTGTAAGAAATCGGTGCTTCTTGCGGAAATACGATGCTGCTCCCGTTCGGGCAAAAGTCCCTTTTGCGCAAAAGGGCCAGTGTAGACAGCTCAGATTTGTTTTGCGCAAAAAAGCCCCGATCGTGAAAATGGCGATTGGGGCTTTTTTGCACAAAAACTCATCTAGATTGGCACGGACGCTTTTCCACAAAAAGTGCTTTTGTGTTAAAGCATCCTGCCAATCTAGACGCTCTTTTCCGCAAATGCTTTTAACGGGAAACTTTTCCGTTAAAAGCATTTGTGGAAAATCCTGCCAGTCTAGACGTAGCCTAGAGGTTTAATCAAAGACCTTAACTGTGTAGCCCCGACATTCCACACCCTAATGACCTCAAAAGCCAAGCACTGGGTACGCAGAGTCCTTAGCACCCACCTTGTCAGCCTCATTGATCAGAGATTCTCATGGCCAGTACCTTGTTTTCCTGCTCTGCTGGGTGTGCCCCGGACTCCTTAGCGCCGCTCACCAGAGGAAGTGGGCTGTGCCTGTGAACGCTCATGATGCCGTCGCCGTGTGTTGTTGGTCTCTGGGGAGGGAAGCCAAGAGCGACGTGTGACCCTTGTTAGCCAGCCTTGCTCTCCAGCTCACTCAGCCCTGGTGCTGTCCCCTTCCTTTTTCAGGGTCCTGAGCCATAATCCATTGTCAGTCGTGGCAGACACGTCGCTTTTCACACTGCCCTCCCTGGCGTATCTGTAAGTACCCGCTTGCCTCGGCCCCGATCCGTCAGTGCGTTGGCTCTGCCCCTCCCTCCCATGCATGGGGCTGCTGCAAATCACCGTGAAGGGAGCGGGAGGCAGGGGCCATCCCACTCCAGCCCCACACAGGCTGGCCCAAGGAGATCAGCTGGAGACACTTCCCAGGGGTCAGCCCCACACCGGACAGGAGGCCTGTGCCGCAGGGAATGCTGATTGAAGGCTGGAATGCGGGTGCGCCTGCTGACTCTGCAGCGCTAATGGACTATAACCCAACGGGGTTGGGGCCGGCTGTGTCAATAACCCAGCACTGGGTCTGTATGGGCACCGCTTGCGCCAGCGCAGGGCGGAGCCCCTGGCACTCCTACGCCCCACAGCCCCCGTCCTTCTCCGGGGGGATGGCTACATGCAGCATTTCAGCTCCCACAACCCCGCAGGCCAGGGTTCTGCCAGGCGTGCGATTTGCAGATATCCTCCCACTGCATCGCCCAGCTTGGGTCTCCTCCGTCCAGTGGTTTGCTCTCGCCGCCGGGAGCCTGACTCGGACAGTGCCTGGGGCTGCCGTGCGCGGACGGGGCTTTTTACCATTTATTTGTAGGAGCTAGTCAACCCCCCCAACATCCTGTGCACAGAGATCTCGGAGTTTCTCGGCCACCTCTCTATGTAAGATACTTTAATGACTCCTGATACCATGACATCTGAGTCCCCCCCCCAACGTATTTATTGCCCCGCCCCCGGGAGATGGGACAGCACTCTTCTCGTGAGGCAGGGGAACCCGAGGGAGGCTAAATGACTGCTCAGGGGCATGTACAGAGTCAGTGGCAGGGAACTGAACCCAGGCCTCCCCCAGGCTAGGCTGTCTCAGTGGCATCTACTATTCCTTGCTCTGTGTCCTGCGCTAGGAACAGATTCCTCGTCTTCCCTGGTATTTTCAGAACTTTGTTTGCTCCCCTAGGCGTGTGCGCAGGACACGCGGAGCCAGGGGTTTGGGATTGCTCCATGTGAGCCAGTGCCATGTTATTGCGCATTTCTTCTTTCATTCCCGTGGTTGCATATTGATTGACTCCCTGTGTAAAGCCAGAGGAGAGGGGGTCAGATCCGGGAAGGCTGAGTGGCAAAGATTTGCCCTTTGTGCTCTTGGGGCACACACTCAGACTCCTGGGGGTGTCCGGACAGGCATCGGGCTCTGTCCCAGGCCAGTAACGGTTCAGCTGCGTGCGTGTGGTGCGCTGGCTGCAGGCTCCGAGTGCCCCAAACACCACCCGCCAGATAAGGACCAGGTGAACTGCCAAACGCAGCGCAGTCCGTTGTCAGCACTCTGACCCCCCAACAATGGGCTCAGCACAGTCAGCGATGGCATTTTCCGTTGCCCCCCAGGCCAGACAAGGGCAGCCCCCCGGGATACATTTGTATAGGTAGGGACAAAGAAGTTCCACATCGCTGCCGCGCTCCCACACTGCCCTCGGCATGCTGTCAGTGACGCTGTACTGAACCTGGGCGGGTCTGCCCCTTTATCTGGGGGTGGTACGCAGGGGTTCTGTTCCCTCCCCTTTTGTGACGGCGCGTTGGGGTCCCCCGCCTCCTGCACCCCCGAAATGGCACGAACAGACTCCACCAGCCGGTAGAATAGAGGAGGGTTATTG